ACAGAGGCAGAGTACAGGAGAAAGATCTGAGAACTGCTGCTGCTTCCTCCCTGCATCTGCTACCTGAGATTTGTTTAACAACAGGGGTGGCCTAGCTTGTCTTCTGTATGAGACTCCTTTCAGATCTCAAAGACCCAAACAGATGTCCCTCACAGTCTTCCAGCAGAGTGATATCCACACAAAATGCTTCTTGTGGCTCTGAGGCTGGGTCTGCTTCTTGAACACCTCAATGAGACATCCACCTGATAGAAACTAAATGACCTTGGCTTGTTATGCCTAGAAGGGTTATTGGGCCAAAGTGGTGTTATTGTTCTGATCTTCTGTGTTTCCAGGAGGATAAGAAAGTGCAACTTCATCTGCATCATAAGAGCCTGGCGGAGTTTGCATTTGGGACCCCCTCCCCTCACTGCTGGCAACAGGGCTATCAGGACAGCGCCTCCACAACCTCCTTCACCAGAAAGAGTTGCTGATCTCCCACCAATACCAGGGCTAGCCTACCACAATCTGAAATGAGTGACATAATGCACAGGCTCCATGAGCCCATTTATGCCCTCCTCAGAGCCACCACAAACCACAATAATGCCCCCAAACAGAAAATGGAAAGGACCAGAAGAGTCTAGATATATCTCTTTTTATGTGGAACAAGATGCATGTGGTGAGTCTCATAATTCCCTCTCTTGATCTAACCATGCTGCACCAATAATAAGACTATTAAATCCAGAGTCCACTATTATCCCAACTGCAGCACTAATTTCTGGATGAGAGCATTTTATAAATTATTAGCATTCCCAGCCCCATCTGGCACAATCAAATTGCAGCAAGAGGCTCCAAATGGTACTGCCTGCTTTAAAACAATTGGAAGTAAGACAACTGGTCAAACTGGGTTTGCCCAGATGGAGGAGACCAAGGTTCAAATACATGCTTAGCTATGAAGCCTATGAAATCACTATTTCCCACTCTTTCCTTATGATATATGAGCATCTTCAAAGTGTCAAGAAAGTATGCTGTTCTTCCACCCAGTTAAAGAAACAATCAATTTATTAAGCAGTTAAGAATGAACACAATTGTTATGAATGAAAGGCATACTTGCTTAACCTTTAAGATGACACTTTCACAACACAGCAACACAAGAAACAGTCTTACCCCTCTTTGTCTGATCAGAAGGGAGAATGCATCTTCTTATATATTTAGCATCTGTAGTTTTTATAATTATTTCTACTTTAATAATACTAATGTTTTTTCAAAAACTATCTGATTAGTCAACATGTCAAAACCCCTATTCAGGAGTGTGACTTACTGTGTTCCTACTTCATTTATGACAAGATTACACTAGCCTCACATCCTCCATTGTGGCTTTCAAAAATAAAAGCAATAGTCAAAATAGAGAATGATTACTTTATGTAGGCTCTCCCCATGACCTAGAATACCTACGCATGTGCAGACATGGATTCACATGGAAAGCTTCTATGAATTCAACAGCTTCTGCTGTGCAGGATGTCATGCAAGTTGAATTCATGATTTAGAACTGGCCATAGTAGTGACGTGGGCATAGAAGGGACGTGGTGGCGCTGTGGGCAAAACTGCACAAGCCTGTGCTGCAGGGTCAGAAGACCAGCAGTCATAAGATCGAATCCACGCGATGGAGTGAGCCCCCCGGTCGCTTGTCCCAGCTCCCGCCAACCTAGCGGTTCAAAAGCATGCAAATGCAAGTAGATAAATAGGGACCACCTCGGTGGCAGAGAAAGATTACTTTATCTATGTCGGCTCTCCCCATTACCTAGAATATCTACGCATGTGCACACATGGGTTCACATGGAAATCTTCTATGAATTCAACAGCTTCTGCTGTGCAGGATGTCATGCAAGTTGAATTCATGATTTAGAACTGGCTATAGTAGTGATAGTTGTTTTTTTTTACCATTCTTGAGTAACCTACAGACATTTGTCTCTTTGTAAATCTCTCTCCCCAACACACAGAAATGCAGACACATCTTCAGCCTGTTCTTCACTTCTGGCCTTCACACAGTCTCCTTACAGATGGCCAAATGTTGAGTTACGATGGATATCTAGACCCTGAAGTTAAGTGATAGTTTTTTTTTACCATTCTTGAGTAACCTACAAACATTTGTCTCTTTGTAAATCTCTCTCCCCAACACACAGAAATGCAGACACATCTTCAGCCTGTTCTTCACTTCTGGCCTTCACACAGTCTCCTTACAGATGGCCAAATGTTGAGTTACGATGGATATCTAGACCCTGAAGTTAATTTCATGACCCCAAATGACATGAAATCAACTCCAACCCATTCAACATCCTACAATAGTGACTTTTAAAGTTAATGGTGTTGTTCCAGCATGCCTTGTAGATCCATGATGGGCAAAGACAGATTGTGCCTCTCAGATCATTTGGTTCATGAAGCCAAGGAAGGAATGGATAACCAGGCAACTGGAACAACAGGAACAACAGAAGAGCAATGGAACTCTGCATGCTGATGAGAGAAACTTGGGTGTGCAGCAGTGTTGGCGAGAACTGCTCACTGGGATGTTTCAAGAATAAGTGCTGGGAGCCTTTTTCTGGATGTTCAGAGGGGCTTGGCTGCAATGCTAAGACACCATGCCCACCCCATGTCAGTGACAAGTAGATGGCATATAATTTTTCACTAAAATAGCACCTAAGGAACAGTCTGCAATGACTGATCAATTCCCCCACCCCTCCCCTCCCCTCCCCCACTTCCAAGAAAGGAAAGGCAGAATCACAGAGGGGTTGCATCCAGGTTGAAGTTACACGGAGGGGATCCATCAAAACAGATTACCATATTTTTTCTTTAGGAATTAAAAGTTTTCCACCAGTGGTTCAGTGAAAAGGATGCTTTTGGTATACATGCTGCATGGAGTGGGGAAAGCAATTTTATATAGCCTAAGAATTGTTTATTTAGCCAATCACAACAATTTTTCCTTCTAGATCTTGCCCTTATTTCAATTTTCTCTTGTCTATCTCTTGACAGCAATTATGACTTACCAATTATTACCCTAATGTATTTTATATAGAGAGCAACATAGTGTAATGGGTAGTGTCACACCAGGACTCAAAGAGATCTGGATTCAAATGCCTGCCATGGATATTCCCTGAAGTAAACCATGCCTTAAACATCTAAAAGAAATCTATTCTTGAAGGCTTTCTAGGGCGGGATCCAATGGTTGTTGTAGGTTTTTCGGCCGTGTTCTGGAGGTTTTTCTTCCTAACGTTTTGCCAGTCTCTGTGGCTGGCATCTTCAGAGGACAGGAGTTAGAACACAGAGTTAGAACACACCTCCAAAACACGGCCAAACAGTCAGAAAAACCTGTTGGCATAGGCATCCTTCAGTCTCCAGAGACTATGGTAACATGCTCTGAATTGAGGAGTGTCCTCTCCAGAGCATGAAGCCCGGGTAAGGTAATATGGAGGATAGGCTGTTACCCAAGCAGCAGATCCCCCCTCTCCACATTGCTGAAATGGTCCAATGGAAAGGCAAGAGCCAATACAACTGGTTCCAGCAATGTCGCAGGAGTTGGCAGAAC